TTTAGGAAAATAAAAGGGTTTAAAAAATTCTCACTTGTCGAAGCATGGCACACCCTAGGGAGAATTTAGGTCTAGGACCTAATGGGCACGTTTAGTAAATCGTATAGGATTAACAGAGGTGGTATTAGGACAGACAAGATTAGGAATGATGGATTAGACAGTGTAACAATTCTGGTTTTTCACAATGTAAATTATACCATAAATGTACAGTGTTAAATTTTGTAATATATGGAGAGAATTAGAGTGTCGAACCCACGAGAATTGATGTTTAATTCCTACTAAGTACTATAATTATTTTAACTTTTACTTTATCTATAAAATCAAGTTTAAAATCAATATTGTTACACTAATCTAACGTTGATGTGGTGACAGTTCAAATAAAATAAGGCAAATTATTCTAGATTTATCAACATGAAAAAGCCTAAGTAATGATTTCACCGCACTATCGACAATGTTTCTCAAATTATATAATTACTTTTATTTATCTTTCCTAAGTTGTGTTACACTTAGATCGTGCATATATTTCTCTCTCTCGAGTGCCGAAATTAAAGACATCAAATCATTCAATCATTGATCACGTAATTGAAAGCAATGCACAATACTCAACACAAATAAACTCGTAGAAAAACTGAAAGAAATACTTATATTAAAATCCAAACATGTCTCAAGTTATGGCTACATCAAACCCTAGATTAGAATTTTAGAATATGATTAATGTAATATAATAATCAAATTCAATATTCAAAACATAGAGAAAAAAAGAAATAAAAATTGGGTTTGCGCTGGAATTCTTCTACTCCTTTGTTGTCTCATTTTTCTCTGGATCAATCATTTGTTTTCTTGCCTCTTGCAATGTTGAAGCCCCCAAAAATAGGTCTTCAAGGTTGTATTTATAATCCCTTAAAGTTTCAAGACGAGTTGGGGTTGGATTGGACCAAAAAATTTGATTTTTTTAACCTCGGGTGGCGGCACCGCGGCGCCCATGTCTGGCACCGCAATGCCGCGATGGATTCCTTTGCAGTGCCATCAATTCTGATGATTTCTATTATAGTTGGGCCGCAGAGCCCAACATTCTGCTGTTTCTTGAGCGCCTAGGCTCTCATATGTTTCCTTCACTTTCGATATCATTTCCTTACCTCTTTCCCACTTTATTTTTCTCTCCTTTCATCTCCACTCCATGCCCACTTCCATAATCAACAATTAAGCTCTATTCCAAGTTCCAAAATATGTCATTTTCTCCAAGCTACCTAAACTACAAAACAACATGAACAAACATATCAAAAGTGCTAAAGAACAAATCAAAAAACTATGTTTTAGAAGTGCTAGTTCAATGAGTGAATTACACTCATCATTTGGACCTTCGCATCCAAGTGTTAACTCATACATATTATAAATGATTTTACATATAAGCATTATCGACAAATAGTACGTAACTAACAGAATTACATTAAAATGATAATTTAACATTCACCAATTGGAGTTTTTTCATCGTTGATAAAAAAATATCTCAATAAATTTAGTTTATCCATAGAACTTCAATCAATAAAAAAAATTACCTTTAAAATAATTACATCAGTAATTAACATGGAATTAAAGAAACAATTTAAAATTACTAACGTTAATATTAAAAATAAATGGTTAATTAAATTTAATTAAATGATTGAAAATTATTCTATAAATTTATGACTTACTTTAAATGAGACCTTCGACACAATAGATTGGAAAAAGAAGATTCGAGAAATCGATGACTAATAAGTATAGAACAGTCATCTTTTGAGTTACATCTAGACAACTTATTATGAAATAAACTAGAATCTTAGATTAGTTTTTCTATGAATACATTATTTGATCGTTACACTCCAAATCAGCCACCATTTTTTATCGTTTGTCTCATGGGTGGGTCCCATTTTTTTCGACTTTGGAGTTGAAGAATAAGCTCCAAACAGGGGCTTAATAGTTCGGTGGAATGATTCAAAGATTATGATTATCACATCCTCTTGTTTGCTAATTGACTGCTCCAACGCTCAACTTGATAAGATGGATCATATATTAGTTCATTTTTAGTACGAATTGATCGCGTGAACTACTGAACAATACGGTAAAAAGACATGTCTATTTATGTTATGTATGGATGGAAAATAATTTAGTGAGTTTATGTATGCTTCTAATACAAAATATAGATCATGCATGAAGCAATGGTAAAATTTATGTCATTTCATGCCCATGTTGGTGCTCTATTTGTGGATTGTTTCGTTAATTTTGAATTTTGACTAATAGAAGTTAATTTATGTATGAAATATGAATGAGAAACAAATTCGTGATTTCATGAATAATTTTGATACAACACTGAGTTCATTTATGTTATTGAAAGAGGAAGATATACTTTAGATATTATAATGTGAATCTTACAAATACTGCATCGCCAAAGAAAGGCCTCACCAAGAGCCCAAAAGCGTTTTCACGATCTATCAAAGAAGAAATTAAGCCTATGTTTGGCTCAAATTATTTGGCCAAAAATATAAAAATTCTGACCGTTATTTTCAAATAATTTGAATTTGTGTGAGATAAAAAACGCCAAAGATGGTGGCTGATTTGATTGACAACGGTACATTTTTTTCTACAAATAGAGCAAAAATGTGGAACAAACAAGCTCTAAATTAATAACTCGTTGATTTTAATGTTATGGTGCATCTAAACACGCTGTTACATTTCAACACAGCATTTCACTCCAATAGAATGTGTAGTTGAAATGGTTAAAAGAAAAATTATTTTTAAATAAACAATCCCAAACAAGGGCATATAAGCAATGGTAGAAGTGGAATTATCTTTCTTTTGATTTATTCTTCTCGAGGAACCAACAGTTATATCTCGAGTTCCAAGAACCTAATTGGGGACCCAAACGTTTTCCAAAAAAGGCACAAACAGACGCCCAAAAGCATGTATTTTTATCACCCATTATCTCCACAATCATTTTGTCCATTTTGGTAAAGATTTTTGGATAATTAATTTTATGAAAAGTAATTTTTTGAGTGCTGTTAGAAATAGAGCAATTTGACAGTAGAGAGAAAATTAGTAGTCACTGCAGCAGCAACAAGAATAAACTAAAATCAGTTGTCACAAAATTATATGTGCATCTTTGGCTAAACCTTAAAAAAGGTAAATTACTTTAAGCCACTTTTGAGACTTTTTCCCTACTTTTAAAAATTATTCTTCTTCGGCGGCATGACTCTTTTGTACAACCCAAAACAGCTCAAAAGAAGCCTATTTTGGGCTTTTAAGCTACTTATTTTCAACTTCAAAACTTATAAGAAAACTTTAAGAATAATGCTACTTGCAGTCGCTCACTGCAGCAGTCACCCTATGTGGCACACACATTTCAAATGTGTATTTGATGCATTAAATGTGGTAAAAAACGACCACATTAATGCATCAAATAACTACATGTCATGTGTGTGCCACATAGGGCGACTGCAAGTAGCATTACTCAAACTTTAAAGTTAGCCAAACATGCTACTGGAACCCTATCTCTGAAACTGTTGATGACTCGTGCTCTGTCACTCCAGAAATAGAGACATTCGCGTATAAGTTTCAGAGTTAAATTTTGGTGAAATTAACATACGAATAGTAACAATAACAACAAAAATAACAAAACAAATCATTCGGTGATTTCGGATAATCAATTTCACCCGTTTGCTGTGAATTAGTCGGGGAATTTTGTACTTCGGTTTTTTTTCTTGTGGTCTTCATTCATCTCCGTCCTGTGACCGGGGTGAGAGGGTGGTGGCTCCGTCATCACCCGGCGATTCAGTTCAGTTGAAGTTGAAATTCCACTCTTTTGGGGGAAAACTATTATGAAAAAGCTACTGAAAAAGACATAATTATTATTTGGATTTATCACATCACGTTATTGATAATTGAAGTTTTTCGCTTTAATGTATATTTTCACATTAGTATGAAAATGCTACTTTATGATTGCTTGCGACCAGAGACAACCCCTTACATATTGAGCATGGAAAGAATACTTGAAAGATGAGCGAAAACCACTACGATGTTCACAACCTTGAAACTACTATAAATTAGCTCATGTTTGACTTTCGTTATTTCAAAATTCTTTATTTTTCATAATCATTTTCAATCACACATTCATATAATAAAATATTTTGCACGTAAACATAAAAATTTACCGTACTTTTTCACTTGAGATTCTAAAAAAATATATATATATATTATTCAAAACATCATTTTTCCCGAATTTCTCTTTATAGTGATCATGGGTTTCATTTGGCATCAATTAAAATTCTTAATCAAGATTGTCCCAGTCTTTGCTCAATCCAACTTATTAAAGCCTTATTTGGTGAGGATTAAAATCATATTTTTAATAGATTTTGTTAAAAATCGATAAAATGTGTGATTAAAAAACTACGAGTCCCATGAAACATATAGCTAAAATTAATTGTTCATTTCGACTCGTATTAAAATTTGAATTTTATTATATACCCAAAATACGCCATCAATATTTATCTCGGTACTGCTCCCTGAGGCATTCTAAGGGGTACTCTGATCGTACTAATTTAAGAAGACTCATCCTTCTTTTTCTAAATATACAACAAAACTAATCTTTCAATGACTTGCATAATACTTTACTAATCACAAAAGGGGTAACTTCTACTCCACAAGGGTACACAAACAGCCTTTTGCTGCAAAAGAGAAGGGAATAATCAGCTGTACAGATATGGCTCCAAGATAAACTGAGTGAAACCAGAAAAGGAACATTCTGCAAATAGCTCCAAGAAATGTACTTAGATTTCATGCACAACATATTATGCTACAAAAAAAAAAGGCTGTTTAAGTGCAATTTGCTTGGCAGAGCTCGATAAGCAACAAATACATGTTCAGGACCAAACTCGTTAAATAGTAACTGCCCCGACCAAAGCCTTAAGATGTACTGTCAATATCTTCAAATGCATGTAAAACCTCTCTGCCTGTGACAAAGTGCTTTATCAGTTGAGATGGGCTCTTCTAAACTCTGCCATCGCACAAGCTGCAAAATAAAATTTTCAGGAACATCATTCTCTACAAAACACAGCTACAGAAATGGACTTGACCACACCTAATTTTTCAAAAAAGTAGGACGTGGAAAGTTCTTTTATATCACTTTAAATTCTACAGGTACATTATATCCTTATATTATACCTTTTATTTAGCTTTAGTTTTGATTTTTGATTGTAAATATTTTGGATTTAAGATAGCATGGGGTTTAGGACGTTTTATACTGTGTGTGTGACATCACGTACACCAGGGTGTCCAAGAAACATTGCTCTGATACGTATTGAGCATGTACACTCCAGCACAGGAGTAGCTGCGTGCTTTCCAGACCAAGGGGCACAAGAATATGATCAATGGCCAACCATGTTATAAGAAATCATTCTCAGGGTGTATATAAGAACCGAAGTCCAAAATAATATTCATGGCAACGATTTGCAAGTTGAGATGGTGAGCACAATGTTGAGTGTGATGAATACATGCCACATTATCCAAAGAGATGCAACAATACATGACTGTGCTTTCAATGTGCTTATGTGCACACGACAGTCTGAGCAGACGACAACAGCTTCCAGTTGTGCTATCTGACAATAACTAAAACTTACATGTCTACACTCGATCTGATTTCTTCTCCAAGTGCCCTAACACTGCCTTCTCAAGACCCCCTTCCACAAAAATAAAGAAAGAAATAAAAGTAAAGACTCCTATGGATAAGGAATTCTCACTAACCATCTCACTCTAAAATCAAATGAGTAGCATTCAAGAAACGAGATAAAGACAAATAAAAAGTTATATTACAAATAAATGTATCAAGATTTAAATAATTTCTTCAAACTCATCGTTTGTTATGTTTTTAATATTTTGGTTTTATGCTATAGATTATATCCTAGAATAACCATTTGTAATTACTTAACAGTTCGTTTTTATTACCAGTTGATCACACTCTACGCTACAAGTGATGGAGAACTATTAACAGCTCAGATATTACATTGCTTCAGCACATTCTCAAATCAAATATTTCTGACACTTGATCGAAACACTCCCTGCAATGGACACCAATAGCCTTTTCCATGTAAATTGCCTATCCAATAGTTCCGCGTGCTATTTTACTACACCTACCCCATTAAAAACCTCCTACCGCATAAAGATGCAAGACTTAAGACACCTTTTGGAATTTACCAAAAGTTACATATTTTGTAAATCCATGAACTGGCATCCATTCCTGAGTCCGTGTTAACTGGTTATCTACCTGTTAAGGGTTTATACTTGAGCATTGGTTTTTTCACAAATAACCCTTTGATGTCACTTAAAAGTTCGTTGCATCTCCATTTCAAACCCTTTATGTTAAAAACAATGAAGAAATCTTAACGTGGACATTTTTGTGGCAAATTCAAATTCTCAAATTAAATATTCCGACTCTTGAACGAGTACAATTGTATAAGCACCGCAACTGACAACCACAACCTTGTTAATGTAAACTGGCAAACCATTACTAATTAGTTTACTACACCATCCAACAACCAATTCCTACAGTGAATAGATGCAAGACTTGGACACCTTTTGCCATTTACCTTACTCCTTGTAGTACATGAACTTGCACTCATATGCTACTCCATGTGAACTGGCAATCCATTAGTTGACATGTTACTTCACTATATCTTCCTTGTATTCTTTGACTACTTTGTCCTTTTGTATACTTCTAGTATACTAGGACCTTTTTTAATATTTAAGTTTCTTTACTTATCAAAAAAAAAAAAAAANTTAAGTTTCTTTACTTATAAAAAAAAAAAAAAAACTATATCTTCCCAAATCAACCACCTTCTAAAGCAGGTAAATGCAAGATGCGGACACCTTTACCATTGACTAATAGTAAAGTATGATAGTTTCTTCTTTAGAGGTATGCAGTCTTAAAAGCTCTATTTTTCCTACAATTGGTATTTCCCCTAATATGGTATTCCTCGTCATTTTTCTCTTAAAGCTACTACAAAATCCTTGCCTGGCCTTTGCATTGAATATCTTGAAGTTGAGGATCGAGCTTTCGTGTATTGCTAGTAGCAAGGTTGGATTCTTGACCATTGACAGCAGATGTTGTACCATTTAAGGCAACATCTATATGCTTTCTTAAGGGCAGTTGTTTATAAATGGACTCAACCCTATCATTCTAATAGAATTTACTTCTCAAAATGAGTAAATGCAATTAACATTTAAGACTTCACCAAAGAACAATCCCACAATTGCTTTCATTCTTTTTCATTTTCTTTATGGAGGAAACTAAGGAAATGATAAGGTGTCGTTCTCTTTGTGTTTCAGTTTTGCGTTTTGAGTTTTGAAATCATTTTGTATTTTGTGTTTTGAGAGGCCATTTTGAAATTTTTGAAAACGCGTTCTTTTTTACATTTTGTAAAAATATT